CCCAGACAGGAGCAAAGTAGCCAGGGCTGCCTGGCCAGCCCACAGAACCTGAGCACAGTTGCCAGAACCTGGAGGAACCACAGGCACCACTGCCAGCCCAACGTCCCCTCCCTCCCTAGCCCTGCTCTTGGTGATGAGCTGGGCAGTGCCAGGGGTCCGTGCCTCATGTTACCATGGCCTCTCAGCAGACTTTCAGTGGCAAGAGGCAGAGCAGGCCAAGGCTGACAAACTGTATCAGCCTCATCTCCTCCAGGAAGCCCTTGTGCTCAGCCCTGTCTGGGCTCCTGCAGGTCCCAGGTTTAGAGTGAACAGGACGGAGCAACCCTTAGCACTGCCTGCTGACTTGGGGCTTGACAGAGCTCTGCTGCTGCTGTGAGCCCCCCCAGGGGATACACTGAAGACAAGAGGTGTCTTCACCTAAGGGAAATCCCGTGGGACAACAGCCTAGGAACTCAGCACAGTTATCCCCATTTTATAGGCAACAAGACTAAGACTCAGAGAGTTTAAGAAACTTGCCTTAGGTCACAAAACTAATCAGCGTCACAGACTAATGAGCACAGCAGCCAGGAAGCTGTCTGTCTCCAACGTTTGTGGTCTTCACCCTGCGACAGGCTCCCTCTGCCCTGCCTAACAAGAAGCAGAGTCAAGGAGAGTCGAGTCGAAACAGGGTGAGTGAGGAACAGCCATGGCGATAAAAATGCCCGTTGGTGGCAGCGACCGCTGGAGTGCCCTCCAGGCCAGGCCTGCCCTGGGTGTTTGTGAGGTGGGTATGAATATAATTCCCAGTTTAGAGAGAGGGAAACCGAGGCAGGGTGAAATTAAGTAACTCCTTGAAGCTCCCCCAGCTGGCAAGTGAGTATCAGGGCTCAGATGCAGGCAGCCTGGCCCCAGCTAGTGCCCAAGTTCAAATTCCTCAGCTGTTCTCCCTCCCCAGGAACTAGGACCACAGAGGTTATCTCCCATACCACCGCCCCCCCATACCTGTTCTGGGGCCTCGCAACACTTAAGGGCTGAGGGCAAGCCTGCCCCCAACACAGTCTTACCTTGCCCCCACCTCAGGGACTCCCTCAGGACACACCTGAGTAGGTAAAGGCGTCTCTCCCAGCTTACGAGTCCCTTCCACCCATACCGAGGTTGAACGTGGCATCAAGAGGCTGTCTGGCCTCCTCTGCCTCCCTTTGTGACCACAAACCACTTCCTCTCACTGGTCTTTGTTTCCTGTTCCGTCTAGCAAAAGACCTTGATGAAACCCAATCTCTTTGGTTCCCTTTTCCCAACTGCTGTACGAGCCAAAGTGAGCAAGGTGGGTTCTTCCCAGAGGGTTTTTTAACAGGTGACTCTGGTAGCTGAAGGGCACTGAAAGCTCAGAGCAGTGCAGCTGGTGGGCCTTGATTCTACAGGTGGGGAGGCCCCCAGAGTTGCTGACAGCCCTCACTGTGTCCCCAGGAAGGAAACACGCCCTGAGGGCCTGCCCTACAAAGACCAGTCGACTTCCCCAAGAACCCCATGACATTGGTCTTGTCATCCCATTTTACAGAACAGGAAGCTGAGGCCCAGGGGCCATCTGCCTGAGGTTCCACAGCTGCTGAGTTGCAGGCAGGGTTTCAACACTACTATGTCTGAAGCCCAAGGCCAACACACTGGCCCATGTTGCCACCCTGATTCTAATTCCCCCCTCCCCCTATCCCTTTTTTGCACAAAGTGAAAATAGCAAATGAGCAAAGCAGTTAATATTCTGGCTGTGTGATATTGGCAAGTTCCTCCCCCTCTCTGAGTCTCAGTCTCCACATATGCAAATAAATATATTAGGACCTTCCTCGGCGGGCTGTTGTGATTAAATGAGTTGATAGATGCAAAGTAGTTAGAACAGCGCCTGGTACAGAGTAAACTTTCAAATATGAGAAAGAAAACGAGCATTGGTGATTTACCCCAACTCCCCTGTCAGGAAGGCAGAAACTGGGCTTCCGCAGTCCACTGGCTAGTCTACGGCTCCCAGGCTCTCATTCTGTCTTTTCTTCATCTGTCAGTGGGGATAAAGACAACTGCCTTGTCAAGTCATCCAGAAGATTCTGTGAGCTCAATACCAAAGGCACCTGAGACCCACAACTGAGGACAGTCACTGTTACGCTGTTAGGACAACAGGCATGAGATGGTACTGCCCTCTAGAACCCAGAGCCCTGAGTGTCTGATGCCTCCTGTGGAAACAGTTCCATAACGACCACCCCTCCAGGCCCCTTTCCACCTCCCCAGTGCCCAGCAGCTGCACAGGAAGCATGTGGTGGGATGACACAATCAAGCCAGGTGGGCGGCCCTGGGGCCCAGCCTCAGCTCCCCCAGAGCTTGTTAGATGCACAGCATCTCAGGCCCACCCAAACCTCTTGAATGGCACATGGACATCAGCCAGGTGACTGCAGTGAGTCTGCAAAGTAATGTCCTGCTCTGCCTTCTTTTTTTTTTTTTGGGTTGGAGTCTCACTCTGTCACCCAGACTGGAGTGCAGTGGCCGCTCCCGGCCACCGCAGCCTCGACCTGCTGGGCTCCGGCGACCCTTCCGCCTCAGGCTTCCGAGTAGCCGGAATTATAGGCATGCGCTACCATGCCCGGCTGATTTTTTGATTTATTGTCAAGATAAGGTCTCGCTGCCCAGGTGGGTCTCGAACCCCACGGGCTCAGGCAATCCACTCACCTCAGCCTCCCAAAGGCGCGGGATTACAGGCTGAGCCACCGAGCCCAGCCTGCTCTGCCTTCTTAAAGCTGGGCAGGTCTTGCCCTCAGCTGGTGGCAGGTGTGGGAAGCTAGGACACAGCAGGGGTTCCTGTCCCAGGAGGCCTGCACTGGACGCTGGCACCTCCAGCCCCAAAGGCTTCCACAGAGGAGCTCAGGGAAGATGGTTAGGGACCTGCGGTTTTGAAGCCAGGTTCCCAAATTGGCTACTTCCTGTCTGTGTGATCTTGGGCCTCATTAATCTCTCTCTGCTTGTTTCTTCATGACACCAGCTACCTTACAGGGTCACTGTCAGGATCTGATGAATTCATGCAAATAACACATGTAGAACAGTGTCTGGCACAGAGCAATCAACACACAATGAGCTTCAGCTAGTAATTCTAATAATTAGAAGAGGGGGACCCTAAAACCCCTGGAATTTATTTAAAGATATGAATTTGCCTTTACACGTTTAAACTTCAGTCACCCTCAAAATACTCTCTGTTTGATGCAGTACGCCTATAGAGATACTTTTCCCACTGCTCAAAACTGATTTTGAACTCATCAATTTTGATACCTTTTAGTGCTTCTGCTGTATTTTGTTTCACCTATTCCACATTGGCAAAATGTTTTCCTTTGAGGACTTTTTTTCACTGGGGAAACAAAAGTCGCTTAGGATGAGATCAGATGAATAGTGAGGGTAGGGAACAGGGGTCATGCTATTTTTGGTCAAAAACGGCTGGACACTTAGCTTAGGTGGGCAGGTTCGCTCATAAATCACCCATCATGAAATGGGTGAACCCACTGAAATAATCTCCAAAAAAAAATTTCACTGAAGCCAAATGCAGCCTCTCACAACACTAGCTGCTACACTGATGTTGATGTGTTTCTAGAACACTAACTTATCAAGGGAAACCTGTACTACAAGGGACTCACCCTCCAAAAGATAATTCTGGGTTTTTTTGTTTTTTGTCTTTTTGGATCCCCTCGTAAATCATATCTATCCCACCCACAGGAATGCAGGGAGCTGGCTCTGGCCACAGAGGCTCGAAGATTCACATTCCTTCCTGCTTCTCCTGCCAGCTCAAGCAAGTTTCCTCCTCACAATAACATGAGATTTGTCACCCCTCAAACATATGGCAGGCAACACTCTACCTTCTCTCTTGAGTGGTGCCTTTTAGCCTCCAGACACCCACACGAGCAGGTGGTGCCCCATTTCCCAAGAAACTGAGGCCCAGAGGGTAGAAATGACTTGCCAGCTCGGACCAGAGGAGAGGTTTGGGCAAGGCCAAAAAATGGGGATAATGTCAGTGTCTCCCTCACTGGCTGTTGCAAAGGTGTTTTATGGCATTGGATTTAAACTGATGCATACAGCAAGTGCCACTGAAGTGTTGCCCCCTGTTTATATCTCTGTGAGTCCATTTGACTCCCATCAAGGGCTTGACTGCTGCCCTGGGATTCACATCAGGGAAGGTGGCTCCCTGACCCAGCACAGAGGGAATTCTAAGCATTAAAATAAAATAAGACTTCAAAGGAAAGTGCTACTTAATGTGGGCCTGGGACGTCCAGACAAGATGTGGAGGAGGCATGGGGTGGGAGGCTTGCCGGGCACACCTGACTTCTGACAGGGATAGCAAGCATGTTCCCTGTGGTGGGGACACCAGTAGTGGGATCCAGCCTGGCCCTCCTCAAAAGGCAGGTGGGTGATCCCTCTCGGGCTCCCATGCACATTCCCCCACATGCCCCCCCACTGGATTCTCACCAACACTCCTGTGAACTCTGCTAGGGCCCACCCAGTCCCTCTGTCCCCAGCGTGGGGAAGGAGTGCCCTGCTCCCCCCACCTTTCTGGCAGGGCTCAGGGCTCTTCCCACTGGGCCCTCACCATCAGACTGTTGGATGTAAAGTGCTTCCGTTCCCTGAGCCCTGAGCGCCAGGCACCACGCTGGTTGCCTGTGCCCGTTTCATAGCTGAGGCTCAGAGAGGTCAAGCCCTGGCCTGGGCTCACACAGCAGCTCAGCTCAGTCTGCCAGCACGTCCACTTGACAGATGGTGAAACTGAGACCTGGAGGGGCCAAGTCAGAGGCAGAGGCAGAACCTGGAGGCCCCCGGGTTCCGGACCCTCCCGGGCTCGCTGTCCCTCATTAAGCACCTGCAGGCGGGCCCGGGCCTGAGCCAGGGACGAAAACTGCGGCAGGAGCCCCTTTCGCTGCCGGGACTGGGACGCCCGGGCTGGGCCCCCCCCAGCACCTCAGGCAACCCGGGACTGGACCCCGGACCCGAGCCCCGCCCGCGCTCACCTTGGGCTTGTCGAAGGCGGGTGTCTGGGCCATGGTGCCCGCGTGCGCCCCGCGAAAGCTAGTGGGTGCCGCAGGCGGGCGGCCGGTCCGCTCTCCTCCGGGCCCGGAGTGGCCTCGGCCCGCCACACTCTCTTTACCCGGAGCCGGGCCCGCCCCGGGCCCCGCCCCGCCCCGCCCCTCGCCGGAGCCCCCGCCCCGCCGGCCCCTGCCGCTCATTTCCTGGAATTCCGGGCCGGAGTCCTCGCCGGCCGCGGCGGTGCCCGCGGCTCCGAGTCCTGGGCGCGCGATGGGGCCCTCCTGTGCGGTCGCGCCGCAGCCTCCCCGAGGGGCTCGGCCTCCTCCCGACCCTCCGGCAGTTTCAAGAGTCCTCTGCGGCCCGGGCGCCCGCTGTGCGCCAGGCCCGAGCTAGACGCGGGGCACCCGGAGCATCGTCGGCCTGGGGGCTTGCGGTCTGCGGGGCTGGGCGGTCGCGCGTGGCGGTCACCCCACACAGATGTTTTACGGGGGGCTCGACGGGGCCTGCAGGAGTTCACCAGGTGAAGAACCGGGGGGGGGGGGGCTGGGGAACGCGCCGTGTGGGAGACTCCAGGGAGCTGGGAGTGAACGGAGGCCAGGCTGGGAGGCCAGGACGGGAGGCCAGGATGGGAGGCCAGGACGGGCGAGCTCAGAAAGTCCCCTCCTAGGCGCTCACGCCTGAGAAGCCGGCCCAGGTGCGGTCAGAGGGCCCACAGAAGGTCCACACCAACGCTGTGCAGAGTAACAGGAACATTGGAGACAGCCTCCGATGCCCGTCCACAGGCCAGTGGGCAACTAGACGGGAGCATTCACACCGAGGAATGTCGTCCAGCAGGGAAACCGAATTAACTTCGGCAGATCCATCTCAGAAACAGTGTGGAGTGAGAAAAAATAAGTCTCAGGAAACTAGACAAGACACTATGGTGCAACTTTTAGAATGTTTAAAATCTAAACCAAGCCGGGCTCCGTGGCTCAGCCTGTAATCCCGTGCTTTGGGAGGCTGAGGTGAGTGGAATGCCTGAGCCCGCGGGTTCCAGACCCGCCTGGGCAACTTGGCGAGACCTCATCTCTACAATGAATCAAAAAATCAGCCGGGCGTGGTAGCGCGTGCCTGTCAATCCAGCTACTCAGAAGGCTGAGGCTGAAGATCACCGGAACCCAGCAGGTCGAGGCTGGGCGACAGAGTGAGACTCCAACTCAAAATAATAATAATAATAAAATAAAATCTAAACCAAAATATGTATGTGTAGACTCATGCATCAGTGGGAAAATGTCAAAGCAAGGGCAAGATAAGGGGGAATATGAGGAGAGTGGGTATCTCAGGTGGATTGGGAGGGGGCATCAGGGAATAGGTGATGCTCCAGCACTGAGATGAGATGCTGGCTTCGTTATACCACGACTAAATCAGCGAACCCATGAATAAGGGGGAGAGGGGGGAGGGTGAGAGCGAAGGGCTAGTGGGTCTGGCAGGAACTGGATCTGCCCTGTCTGTGGGCCGCTGAGGGTCTGGGAGCCATGGGAAGTCAGTTAGGGTGCTTTGAGTTGGAGACAAATTTTAATTTGGAAAAACTGTTCTCCAGCACCTGGAAGTGCCATCCAGGAATCACCAGCGTTGCCACCTCCTGGGAGCTGATCAGAAATGCAGACCATCGAGCCCATCCCAGACCCCCAGATAATCCACACTTTAGCAAGGTCCTCCCAGGGGGCTTGTGTACACCAGCACTTGTAGAAGCCCAGGCTCCCTGTGACGAGGGAACGGCCTTGCAGGGGGCTAGAGGGAGCCAGGAGAGCAGAATGAGGGAGGACACGGTGGTGTCCATGGGGGAGATGGGGAGACTCAGATTCAAGCTACTTTTAGGGAGTGAGTAAAATCAGTTGGACTTGGTGTTTGATTGTATGAGGGGGTGAGGGAGATAATGGGTCAAAAGCCAGCCTTCTGATATGGTGTCAAAGCCAGAGGACTTTTTGGTAAGGCCTTTCTTGGCTCTCTGTGTTCCTCAGGTTAAATAGTAATGGCTGCCATATTGAGATGCTCTTGGAGCCAGGCACCCTGGAAAGTGCTTTGTAAGCGCTGCCCCATGCAATCTTGACAGTCATCCCATGCAGTGGAAGCTGCTCTCCTCATCTTACAGATGAGGACACTGAGGCACAGTTGGAGGGATGGTCTGCATGGCTCGTGGACCACAAATGGCAGAGCAGGGGCTTGAATTTGAATCTGAATCTAGAAACCTCTCTCCACCTTATCACCACTTCTCCAGCTCTGTCCTGACGTGCACGTCCCCCTCCAACATCAGCCCCACCACTTCCCAGCGTATTCCTGAAATGCTAGTCGACCTGGATGACTCACTGGTTGATCAAAGTGGACTGCAAGCTCTTGGCCACTCCTATGTTTCGAGATGGAGTCTGATTTTCTTTCTCTTGCTGGCCTGGCCTGAGGGCCCTATCTGAATGATAGTATGTGGCAGAAGCAAATAGGGAAAATCCTTCCTGGATGTCTAAGCCTTGCAGGGTCCATCAAGGCCTCTCGCACATTTTGTCTGGGAACCCTGAGCTTCTAGAAGAGACCATCATGCTAAGAGTCCGAGCGTGTTAGTGAGGCCAGGTTGGGCCCTCCAGCCCAGCTCCCCTCTGAAAACACAACTTCGGTCAGTGCCATGTGGAACAGAAGAATCACCTGCTGAGCCCAACCCAAATTCATGCCCTACAGTGTTGTAACGTGTAATAAAATGGTTGTTACTGGAAGCCTCTGTGTTTTGGGGACAGATTGTCATGAGCAGTAGATACAACAGGCATGATCCTACCTGTCCCAGCCTCTGCACCTCAGTGTTCTCCATCCTGGAAAAGCCTTTCCTCAGATCCCAGACTGTCAAAATGCTGCTTTCCAAGCAGGTCAAGTATAAAGGGACATGTTTGCCCTGCAGGTGCACTCCACCCTTCTGCCGTCTGTTCGACTGCCCTGCCCACACAGCCTCACCCTGCAGGTTATACCTGCAGACTCTCTTGCCCTGTGGCCTCTGATTGGGTTTGGGCAATAGGATATACTGGGAGGAGCTCAGAAGAAGAGAGGAGGAAGCCAGGATGTGTATTCCCCCTCCGGGTCCCCTCTGGCCTTTTTTTCAAAAGTCTCCTTTTTTTCAAAAGTTTCACCTCATTCCTGGCAGGACCTTGAATGATACAGGCTGGTCTTGAACTTCTCTGCAGTGAACACACATTGATCAACATCTACAGAGAGATGGAGAAGGGGTGGAGAGCGATGCCTTCCCCAGCATTCCTTGTGTCACTAGCCGGAGTACTGCTCCATCCCTAGTTGCTTTCCAGAAGCTCTGCTCTCTGGGTTAGGGTTTCTCCGGAAGCAGAGCCTGAGATAGAGATTTGAGTCTGAGTAGTTTATATGGGAAGAGAGCCCAGGATACACAGGAAGGGGGTGCAGTGAAAGTAGCCAGGACAGGCAGGCCACCTTACTGGACTTGAGCTCAGTCCTTCTGGGGCCTTCTGGGAGATGATGGAGGATATGCCATAGAGTTCACCCCATTGAGGTGTGAGGAGGCTGGGGGAATCTACCCACTCCCCCTGGCAATGCTTCCAGAACATTAACTTCCTGGCACTCTTAGTTTGTTCAACATGACTGGCTAAGCTTGCTCCCATGGTCAGAAGAAACTTGCAGGGCGGGGGGTTGGGAAGGAGCAGAGACAGAGAGATAGAGAGATAGAGATATTCTGTCTCAGCGGTTGCCGTGTAGAGGTAGGTGGTTGATTCACAGGGCTTATGGGCAGGACTCTGACAGCTGCACCTGCCCACACATTTAATTACCTTATTATTCTCTCCTCAATTGCTTTGTTTGAGTGTTTCAACTCATTCCTGCCAGGACCCTGAATGATACAGGCTGGTCTTGAACTTCTCTGCAGCGAACACACAGTGGTCAACATCTACAGAGAGATGGAGAAGGGGTGGAGAGCGATGCCTTCCCCAGCGTTCATTATCCACACAGCATGTCACTCGTGGAGAAGACAACGGAGATACGTTCTCAAACATCAGGAATTCTGACTCTCACATAGCCTTCCTGAAAAATCTAGTTCAAGATCTCATTCTAGCCAACAACAACAGCAAAAAGAATGAAAACAGAACTGAGGAGTCCCAATCTGAAAGAATACCAGTCAGGAGTATCATCTCCGGTTACATAAAGAATTAAGTTGTGGCAGGGGTATTGGTAACTTAGTACAAAGCACCAAGTATAATTGTTAGAGCTGCAACAGAGAAATGCTACATGATGAAAAGAATGGGGCTTCCCAGGCAGATGTATTAGTTATACTGTAACACATAGAATGTTACAAATATTACAAATATCCACAGCCATGCTAGGCTTAGGGTTTCGGCTTATGTAACAGTTATGGGTGGGCAGCCCTCTCTCTTCTCAGTCCTTCTGGGTCTCAGGCTGAGTCTATGACACGTGGGTCTCAAGGTTGCCCTGGACATCCTTTTTATTCCAGCCACTCCAAAGGGGAGGAGAACATTAAAGAGTAGTTGGTGTCTGTTGTGGGGAGAGGAGTAGGCTCAGAAGTAGCACTTACCACCTCAGCCCACCACGGCTCAGTCATGTGGCCACACTGATTTGCAGGGGAGTCTGGGAAATGTAGTTCAGCATCATCTAAAGGTCTCTTCTGGAGCAGGAATGTGTCTTTCTTGACAAAGCCCTTTTGCACCCCTTCCCACAAGACTTGTCATCATCTTCCATGTACCGAAGAGTCATGTGACCTTGTCTAGCCTTACCAGTCAGATGGATGGAATTTCTTTCCAGTGAAGTTATCTCTGGATCTCCAGCCCTGGCCCAGTGCCCAGTGGAGAACAGGAGCCTGTTACTTATTGGGGGAATGATGGAAAGTAAGTGGACAATTCAGGTCCTTATTCTCAATCTGAGATCCATGGGAAGCCCTCCTCTGAGCAGGCCCTAGAGTTAAGGAGAGAACACTGATACCTAATGGAAGGATTTCCAGACACAGGCAAAGGACTCCCTCCCTACCACACACTTTCCTA